TCTGACTAGTAAATTTAATGAACGTAACTTGAAGAGGTTACAGTTTACGACGCAATGTTTCGACACGCCGATAGAGTTGGGCGATATTTAACAAATCATATCATGATTATTGTCCAGGGAATTATCGTGACGTTCGATAATATCGCGATACATTAAAAACGATGGCCACAGTTTCAATTTTATATTGGAGGGTTTTGTAGACGGAAATTTGAAATGTAAATTTTATAAATTTATGCCGATGCCCCAAATCCCTGAATTGCAGATAATATACAGTAAAGAACAGATTAACATAACAATTAAGCTACATCAGTAACTATAAGATGCATCAGTTATATCGTATATAATTAAAACAGTTATTCCACTCACTCTCGTCGAATCATCAGCTCATATTCCACTCGAGTTCGTAGAATAACTGTTAAATATTATCTCAGTTAAAAAATTGAAGTGAATATCCAAGTAAAGCAAGTAAATTATCCAATTATCTAAGTAAAAACCTTGTTTTATTTCATGTTTATCCTAAATCTTAGCTGTCCACTGCCATAGCGCAAAGCTGCAAATTTATATCCTCGAGGAATTATTATTAAAAGAGCGTTTTTGCATTTTGTGAAAACGAGGTACACATGCCAAACAATATCACGATAGTTATTGACCATAATGGAAATAACGATCTAACGAACGTAGAAGGTATTACATAGTAAACAATTTTACTCAAAAGGTTGATTTTGAAATTCTCACAACATGTACTCCGTGACGTCACGCACATGCGTTTACGGCGCCTTGAAATTTTAGGCCCGCGAAGGAGCAACAGGTTAGCACTTTTCCATCAACCAAACTGACGTGACGTCATTTTCAGAAGATGGAAGAGATGTTAAATTGTTATGTAACTAACCCAAACCCTACCCCTAGTCTAACTATAACTATAACCCTAACCCTAACCAAAATAATAAAATAAATAAAAAAAGAGTCAACTTTAGAAATTCATCAAATGACGTAACGTCAGTTTGATGGTTGGAAATGAGTGAAAACCGGAGGAAGAACAATGCAAAATTTGCTGAACTTACGGAGAAACTGTTTAAAAGGCTGGCATCGAAATAAAACCACCCAGCGATTTACAGACTAATTTGCTAATGTCAGTCAGCATCTGGGCTGCTGGATTTGTCATGAAATATGTTAAATCGTGGGTTTTCGTGGTGTTGCTCAGTTCTAATTTTTGAAATTATTGTATTCTTTGTCTTTTGCCGAATTAGTATATATCTGGCAGTTTTTAACAGAAACTTGAAGGTCCTTTCTAAATCACATAGGTTTTGGTTTTTTTTCTACTGAACTTTGTATTTATACTCTATTATTGTGTTTATATTTTTGGTAATAAAAAGCAGAAATGAAGCCGGGGAAACACAGAAAGAGCAAGGCAGTGCCACAGACTACAGTGTATTATTGTGTTATAACGCACGCGGATTAGCCAATCAAATTGCATGTTATCTCCCACTTACATCATAAAGCAAGATCATACTTAATAAGGTACTACGCCTACACTTAATTACTTATTCTAATTCATTAACCCGTTGAAGGAAGAACACGTCAAAATCAATGCGTAGGCATTGTTAGTACAGATTTGACCTTGACTGCAAGGCCAAATCTGGTCATGACTACATTTCAATTCATGCACAAAACTAGAAGCTGTGCTTTTATTCATTTAGTTATTTCATAAGAGACTTTCAAAGGGATTAAAATTTCCGTGGAAAGCAACTTTACATTTCTTTTCCGGCAGCCGGAAGTGATTGGACTCAGACCACAGGTCGTTCAACATTATTGTATATCACCATATTATATCACCATAAATATTAAATTATAGTTAAAACATGTTCACTTATCTCGACATAAAGGTGTATTTGCCATTTTGCTGTGGTATCGATCAGATTTCAGACCGCCTGTGACATTTAAAATAGTTTTATTAACCGCCATGTTGTTCTGTCTATTAATTTATGGCCATATTCTAATCCAACACTTCCGTACAAATATTCGACAACAAAATGCAGTTAATCGTCGTCAGTGTTTCACTTACGAGTTCGCTGTGTTCATATGTTCATCCTTGTGAAATTTGTCGTCATTCGGGATATTATTCACCACGTAGTGCCGAGTTAAAATCTCTTTCACTTAATAAGAATTAAGAAAAGGTAGGAGACTGCCGCTCGCAAACGACACACATGCCCGACAGTCCTGTATTTGATCCCAGGGATAGTTTCCGCAAGACTGTTTCATTATTTGTTGTGTCTGCTCTACTTTCAAAATGCGAATGCCAAACTATAGCCGCTACTAACGTGAAAAGTGTCAGCGTGTATTGAGGTCAACCAACAACGAGTATAGCAACTAAAATATACAAAAGAAAGTTTAAACTCACCGTTCAGAACGTGCGGATTGATCTATTCCATTTCTACATAGAAAACATTCGCTTTACACAGCGTGTAGGCTATTATTATCGCCTTGGACAAGAAATAATTTCAAGGTTCTCTTTATTTCTCGGTTTTCTGCTTATTCACGCACTTCCGTGTTGGCAAATATCTTGAAGGAAAACCGATTGTCTGAGAATTTATCCTTCCAAACAGGAATTTTATATCCTCCATACATTTACATGTTAGAGTAGCCAACATAATCATATGCATACAGGAGGGAAAAATTAGAGAGCCAGACATAAATATGCCCAGACGTTGATGCAAATTGCTCGACAAATACAAAATTTTGGCTCATAAACTTCTCATAATTTCAGTGTTGCTAATATCCACCGAAATAGAATCTTTTAAATGACAAATACTTTAAATTATGACACTTACCCACAGTTTTTCAATATTTTCCTTTTCGAACTTCAAAAATAACCGAACTTCAAGCTACATTTTGCTGTTTAATAAAAGTAATAATAAAATTCTTGAATCAGGTTGCGTCTTGTTCAAATTCAATCAGTTTCTGAAAGCTCATGCCGTTAACAATGCCATTTCAACTTGTTGGCAGATTTGGTATATATTTGTGAACATAGGCACAAGCTTGCTGCAACGGACTTGTTACAACTTGACGATGATATGCTTGGTACAAGTTGTTCCAACAACTTGCTACAGGTCTGAAAACCTACAAGCTGTTTCCGCCAGCAACATGTCAACAAGATGTGAGAGTTTTATGTGTGTAGTTGAATACAACTTTTAAACAATTTTTTAATTAGGTCGAGTGGGATATGAGGAATTATTAAGGCCGAAGTTTGTGTTATCTACAGAAGCCGAAGGCTGAGGGAGACAACACAAAGCGATGCCTTAATAATTCCTCATATCCCGCGAGAATTGAATTCAATAATTGTTTTATTATTTAATTGTCGGAATACACAAAAAGGTCGGAGAACCTTTCCTTTGAGGAAGCCATTTGTATTTCCCGCTTTTGGCATAAGTCGCATAAATTAGCGTGACGTCATGTTACATTGTTTTTTAATATACCACGAAATTACGTCAAACGTGATAGAGGGTGGGAAAGGGGGGAGGGGGGTATGGATCACGTTTTGCAACGAAAAAAAAAGCCGTTTCACGGTTCACGTGTCTTAAAAAAGCAATTTCAAGGAAAACTAGATCTAATAAAATAATATAATAATAATAATAGGTTTATTAAGAGTATGTTTAAATGCATGGTACAACCTGTCAGTTAAAAACTACAATAAAGTTAAAAACTGATGTTACAAACATTTTCTTCTCACATAAAAACCCGTAATATGTAATCGATTCTTTGAATAATGAATTGCAAAAACTGTCTGATTGGTTTCAAGCAAATAAATTGTCCCTTAATACGGAAATTTATGGTATTTAAACCTAGACAAAAAAAATTCTGCCTGGATATACAACTATTTATTTATCAAACAAGTGTATTTAACAAGTCAAGGAAACTGTGTTTTTGGGAGTTATTCTGGATAAAAATCTGAGTTGGAAATCTCATTTTTCCCATACTTCTAATAAAATATCAAAATCAATTGGTGTAATTTATAAAGCTAATTTCTGTCTGCCACTAGAGTCTCTACGTACATTGTATTATTCGATGATTTATCCTTACCTAAAATATTGTGTTATTGTTTGGCGACTAACGTATCCTACTCAGTAATATTCGACGCATTGAATTACTTTAGAAACTTGTAATTAGAATACTGAATAAAAGCGCATTCGATGCACATACTAGCCCTATATTTAAGAAGCTTGGCTTATTAAAACTGAATGATATTTGTATGCTACAACTTGGACAATTTATGTTTCATCATAAATTTTCTCTTTTACCTGAACGATTTGAAGGCATGTTTTTAAAAAATGATCAAATTCACACTTTTAATACAAGAAACTCCTCATGGCCAAGTATTATTTACCTTTATGTAGGACAAATATCAGACAATTTTCGGTGCGCTTTCAAGGTCCAATATTTTTTAACTCTCTTCCTCGTGATCTGGTTGACATTGTGTCAGCTATTTTATTTAAGAAAAAAACTAAAACAGTATTTGTGTTCAATTTATTAATAATTATGATGTAAAATTTTAGTCTGCAAGCTCAAGCACGTCTGTACTTCGTAATTTATTAGGCCTAAAGCCGGTTTTCCACTTCAAGTGTACCGTACCGAAACGTATCAAAAACGTTTTTAAATTTCAAAATTTCGTGAATGTTGATTGGTTAGTACTTCCGTAGTACGCCAAAAAGTTGACTTGCGACGAACTTTTTATTTTGATACGCGAATACACCCGGAAGTACGTGGATTTATAAACCTCTTTTCAATCTGCGCATGCTCACCAGTACGTTTTGCTACGATACGGGCGAAGTGGAAAACCGGCTTATTAAATTGTGTTTTTTATATATATGGTGTACATTTAAAGGGAGCCTATAAATTTATATAAGCCTTATGGTTTCGTTTTGGGCTTCCTTGTCACCAACATGATAAAATTCTATTTTTTTGTATATATGTTGTGTTGTAATCTTTATGTATTGTGGTGCTAAATCAAATAAAATTCAATTCAACTCAAATCATAACTTAGAAGTTTGAGTGACGAGATGTCCGACGACCTCCGAAAGGCCTCCGAGGTTTTTACTCTTGTGCAATCGAGTGAGATCATATAAATTGATTATCGCGTATCAAGTCTATTATGACTATTATAAAATAGATCGAAATAAACAAAGCAAAACAAAGTTCACGAAACAGACATCCTTAATTCTCATTTCACGGAGCATTTTTATCGACAATCACGCCTCACGTCTGTAGAACAAATCACATTTCACGACACTAAAATCAAGCATTTCACATTTCACGCATTTCACCCCAAATGTTTATGATTGCATTGTAAAGATCACTTAAAATGATTTAATAATTTCTTTTATACAATTTTGGTAACTTGCTTCCTTTGCAAGATATTCAACTTTGTTTCATATGCAAATATCACCGATGTGACATCACATTGCATAAATGACATTTTGAAATCGCAATATTTTACCTTGATAAAATATTTTTACTAACAAATCCAGAGGGTTAATTACCAGTTATGAAGTTAATACATATACAAGGGCAATTATAGATACGTATTCGCAATAAATACGTATTCGTCAAGAAAACTATACTTTCTGAAAACTCATTATGTGATGTGATGTCACACCGGTGGTATTTGCATATGAAACAAAGTTGAATATCTTGAAAACGGAGCAAGTTACCAAAATTCTATAAAAGAAATTATTAAGTCATTTTAAGTGATCTTTACAATGCAACCACGAACCTTTGGGGTAAAATTTCGTGTCATAGGCACTTTAATTAATTTAAGGAATTTTGGGGAAAACTAAGGAATGTTAGAGCTTTTTGCAAGGAATTTGGAAATTTGGTTGCAAATTTTGTGGCCACAACCATAGAGATTATAAATAACACAAATATTAGATTATAATAGAGATTATAAGTGTTATTTATAATTTCTATGGCCACAACCACCACATGACAAAACTTTACTTCAAAATGTACGTTATATAGGTAACAAATTTTGAAATAAATTTTAAATTCCAGGTTTAATATATGGCAAATGATAAACTAATGATGGATTTTCAAAAACTGAAAGAAAATATATGCACTCTTTCAAACGCTGAAGCGAGAATTATTGATTTTGACACGAAAGAACCAAGTATAAAAGTTGAACTTTATTTTAAAACTGGGTTCCAAAAGGCGAAGCATTTGTATTTCAATTTTTCCTTCGACTTCCTACCCAAGTGGGGATCAAAACGTGCTATTTATAACGCCAATCTTGCATCCTGCGGTTGATCGAGGAAATAGGAAGTGCCAGGTAATTATATATATTTTCTTTGATATTAAATAGTGTAAACTTTTATAGCTCTTGACTCTTTGAGTGGCAGCACTCTCCCTTGACGAGTAAATTGTTTGACATTAGACAGAGTAAAATAATAAAGTAGGGTGCAGCAAGGTGCTATGCAGCCTAACCCATTGAACCCCAGCACAATCCCCTTGGCAAGGTGGAAAAGTCAGCTTTGACATGAGTCCCAGGCAGTGGCGTTGCCAGCCCGACAATTTAGTCCAGCTATGTAAATTCATAATTATTACCATTATTTCTTTCTTTAGAAATTGATTGTTTTCACAGTCAATGCACACGAAAATATTTGCATAGCGGCACTAATCGTCAGGCTGGCTACGCTACTGGTCCCAGGCGAGAATGCTGGGCGTGCCACCTGGTGCGGCCCACCATGCCAGTCTGGAAAGTTAACTTTTTGCATGCCGGACATTGATTTACGCACATGTAAATGTGCACCGACTTTGGAAATATATATGCGCAAAAGTTCCAAATACATCTTTTTAGTATAAATATTTTGATTGATTGACACTTTTATTTAAACAGGGTAGTCCAATCAGTAGTAAAAACCACTGCTATCAACTGGAGCCCTGCTATTTAAAAAAAATACAATCTTTACATGCTATATGACAATTAGGTATTAAAACAGTATACTATATATATACTAGAGAATAAAACTATTTTCGCTTATTATTATATACAACACAACCGTTGTAATAAAAGGATTTCTTTGCCTGTTCAGTTCGTACTCGAGGCAAGTGCAGTTTATGACTCTGCCTAGTCACTCTACTGTGTACCGAGCTGTTAAAAGTAAAATATTTTTTAAAAAGTTGCGGACAAAGAATAGGGCGAATGAATGATACATAGACAATATTTGCACAGTGAGGTGTTAAATCATTTCTGATACGTCCTAACATGCCCAGTCTCTTCCCAGCTCTGGATAGGATATATTTGCTATGCGATTTCCACGTAATACACTCGTCGAACACGACTCCAAGGTATTTGAATTCGTACACACGCTTTATAAGACGACCATTCATGAAAATAGCAAACTCATCAACACGAGATAACCTTGCATGAGTTCCAAATAACATAGATTCGGTTTTCGAGGTGTTAACAAATAGACCATTATCAAGTAGCCAGGTTCCGATGAGCGCGAGATCATCATTAAGTTTCTGTTGTATTACTGCAACATCTGAATGTTGGGTAAAATAGAACAGTATTGTCTGCGTACATTAGTATTTTACAATTACGAACAACACTTGGAAGATCATTAACGTACAAAACAAACAAGAGGGGGCCCAGTATTGAGCCCTGTGGAACACCAGACGTTAGATACTCAGCCTCCGAATATACACCCTGGTACCCAACGATTTGATTTCGAATATGAAAATAATCCTCAAACCAAACAAGTTCGTGATCTGCGATTCCTAAAGCAGATAGTTTATTCAGTAACACCGAGTGATCTATGCTGTCAAATGCTTTCCGAAAATCAATAGAAAGTGCCGCCCCAGTCAATTGTCCTTGTTCTATATTTCTCCGTATGGTATCCGCAAGAGATAGAGCTGCAAATTCTGTTGAATGGGCCGTTCGAAATCCACACTGGTATGGACTTAAAATGTTATGTTCCTTTAAATATTCACCGAGTTGCGTATGGACAGCTCTTTCTAGCAACTTCGACGCGATTGGAAGGACGGAGATAGGTCTGTAGCTATCTAGATCTTCAACCTTGCCCTTCTTAAATAGAGGAATTACTCGTGCGGACTTCCAATCGTCTGGAATTATACCCTGCCGTAAGGAAGCGTTAATAATAATAGTAAGTGGTGTAGCAACTATACGTGCAGAGTCTTTCAGTAAACGTGGTGGAATATTGTCCAGACCAACTGCCTTTCCTGTCTTGAGTCCACGAAGTTGTTTTAAAGTAAAACTCACGGGGATCTCCTTAAATTGAAATGTACTACGCTGTACTCGAGATGGATCAAATGTTCTGGCAACAATCATACCGCCCAGGTCTGTGATAGAGCGCTCTGCCGACTCAAAAAGACGGGTCACAGTACCAACGAAATACTTATTAAAAGCAGTGGCAATAGTTAGCTTATCACTGGTAATATTTTCCCCAACTTTAATATTCGAGGAAACTTCCTTGCTCTCTCCAGGTATAATCTTTTTTACTGTTCTCCAGAATGCTTTATCATTATCCTTGTTATCCTCTAATAATTGTCTATTATAAGCCCCTTTCGCTTTTTTAATCATGTTAGTAACACGATTTCTTAGAGTACGATAGTTTGCTCAATCCTCATCACTGGCCGTTCTACGTGCTTTTCTAAGCAAATAATCACGCTGTTTGATATTACTTTTGATATTACTATTCAACCAAGGGCAATTATCAATTCTCGGTACACGCTTTTGAATAACAGGGGCATGAATTTCGGCGACTGAAACAAAAGCCGACTTAAAGGTATTCCATAAGACATTTACCGGTTGATCGCACAAATCTTCATCGGGGATATTCTCTGGGGTCAAATTAACATCATTCAAATCATTGCAGAAATTATTCGCATCGTAATTTACATAGTTTCTAAATGTTTTGATTTGGGCTGGCGCTCTTTTCCAATTTAGTTTACGTATACAATATACCATTTCATGATCGCTCAGACTTGAACTTATCACTCCAGACGTACTAATATTTTGTGAATTGTTAGTAGCTATCAAGTCCAACAGCGTACTAGACTCCGGTGTGATTCTGGTGGCTTCTTTAATCAGCTGTTTAATATGTAAGCTTTACATTCAGGGATACTTGCTCTCTTAGCCAGAAAGTCACAGTTAAAATCTCCCAGTATAAGCAGTTCCTTACCTTCAGATGTAACACCATCCAAACTGTTATCGAGTTTAGCCATAAAATCTTTGTCATGGTACTTTGATGCATTTGGAGGCCTATAAAAAGTACCCACCAAAAACGCACGGGATTTCGGCAACAAGATCTCAAGCCAAAGTCCTTCGACACTAGAGTCTTCTAATAGCCACTATCTCGCTTTTAACATATACTGCAATCCCGCCACCAGTGGAGCCTCTGTCTCGTCTCAATAGTTTGTACCCTGGAATCTCAAGTTCACTATCGAGCATATGACTGCCAGCCCAAGTTTCTGTCAGGGCTATTAAATGTATACCCGACTTGAGATTATTCATAACAAGGCACAGCTGATCAATTTTCCTGCATAGGCTTCGAATGTTCTGGTGAACGATCTTGAATCCGCGCAATTTCGCGATATTTCTAAGATCGCGATATTTCTAAAGGTAGATATTCAGGTGTTTCTGCTATACCGTCAGTTGTCTCAAAATTGTGCACGCTGCAACCTTGACAATAGTTTGTTAAGTTGTTATCAGTACCGAGACACTTAAGATGGCAGTTCAATTCACATAACCTGCACTGCAAACGGCGTTGATTTTGCCGGATCACTTTTGAACAAGAAGGACATTGTTCATTATTACCAATTTCCGTAAAAGGTCCAGGATTTAAACTAACATCATCCGCTAGCAGTACCAGATATCCAGCACACATAGACAACTTTATCAAATTAATTCCACTCACAGCCTTCTGATAAGAGGACACGCTGGCCATAGTTGAACTTCTAGTCAATCCCGAGTTACGGCTTGGATATGAACGTATATCTGCTTTAGACACTACTATAATGGACGTAATATCTTTAGCCGTACCGTCATATGCTTTCGGAAATAAAACATACGAGAAGAACAACAATATTACCAAAAAGTACGAGAGCTCAAACATGCTGCCACCGGCCGCCATTAAGATTTAATTTTTAGTGTGTGTTTTGTTTGGAGCTTGACAGTTAAGTCCTGGTAAATCGAGGATGAGAGTCGATGGGATTTGGAAAGCGAGAGAGTTTTCCGAACTTGGTCGTGCTCAGGTCAAACAAGATCAAGGGCTAACATGAGAGTCGACTGGATATTACCGGGCGCATAGCGAAAACTTCCCATCATCAAATTTGTCAATTAATAACTCTGAACAATTACTTGTCTATGTAAACAAATGTATGCCATATGTACGCCAAAATTTGTGATTGTACACCGGACAAGTCCGGCGTACACACTTTAGTGACTTTACGTTCCAGTCTGGCCACTATGGGAAAACCCCGTACATGTGAACTTGGCCGAACCAACTTCAGAAAATTTTTAGCCAGAGTTTTGTGAAATCAACTGTAACTTGTGGGCACTTGGAGACTGCATACCTTTCCCAGAGAATTAAATTATGTATCATGCATAAATTATACAATGAGCTAATTATGTATTCAGTTTACTCTGGCCGACAAAACAAGACAAACCACCTTTTTTATCCAATTTTCATCCAAATTGAACTAAAATTCAATCAATTTGTGCTTGGGCAATTTTGATTAGTCCCACAAATTTTTGTATTTAATATGTTTGATGGTTTTTGAGTTATCATGCTGACAGACAAACACACACAGACACACACATATACAAATGCAGATGAAAATATAACCTCCTGGCCGAGATATAATAATACACCAATGAAAATATAACCTGCAAGAGGTTGTAATCCATGTTGGCAATTAATATCCGCCAGCAGCAGCACCACCACTGGCAGGAAATGTTTACCAAATATCTTGACAGGAAATCTTACACCTTGCAGGAAATATTTGTCATCTTATATACTGGAATGTCATATAATTCACTTATTGTTTACAAAAGTATTTTGCAAATCAAGATTTTTGTGCAGGAAGTTTTGTATTTGGAATTTCTTGCCAGGAAGAAAAATATATTTTCCTAGGCCTGGTTAATATAATAAAAATAATGGTTTAAGGGACCGGTCATTATTTATGGAAGGGGGGTCTAGGAGAAAAAATAATGGGGGGGGGCATATGTATAGGTTATTTTGAGGCAACGAGGGGATATGTGATTTATTCAGCGAGGCGCGCAGCGCCGAGGTGAATAAACACATATCCCCGAGGTGCCTCAAAATAACATAGTTATTTTTCACACTGCGAGGTCGCGTTAATGAGTCAGAATAGAAATAATTCTTAATGCCATATTGCCTTCGTTATGTTGTTTTTTTCTCATTTTTTGTGCTGCAGAGACATTGCAGGTGAATATTAGAGGGGATTATTAATTGCAGGTGAATATTAGAGGGGATTATTAAACGGAAATTGATTAGAGGGGAATATTGAATATATTCCCCGATAAGAACAAAGGAAACCGAGCAGGGTGAAAAATAAGTATAAATAAATGACTAGAATGGGAGCTATTAAATTTTGATTGCAGAGATAAATTGACAATGTATTATTACGTCAGCTATCTTGACATGTTTCGCTCGCTACTCTGATTTAAATAAATGATTACAAAGCCTAGTCGAATTGTAATCAAGACCCAACGTTTCGACAGTCCAGTCTAGTGTCTGCATCAGGGGTGATCTAAAGTTACAATCGTGGCTTCTTAAATACCCCAGGGATGACGTCATCTGCCAATGAGATGTTATATGTAAACAACGAGTTTGAGTGTTTCATCAGGGGATCCAAACACGAGAAAACTGTATGAAACACGAGCGCGAAGCGCGAGTGTTTTATTGTTTTCGAGTGTTTGGTCCCCTGATGAAACACGAGAAACGAGTTGTTTACATAACATCTCAAACGAAAACATTTCATTGGCTTATATATATTATTATAGTATATTGTTGTGTTTTGACTTGAATTTGTAATTAGGATCTCAGTTATTAGATGAAAACCGTTTTTTATCTAACAACAGTGATGGTATATGATTTTTAGCGTGTTTCCTTGCGGTATCCAACCTCAATCATGTGACGAATTAGGGTGAGTTCATTCGCTAATTTGCTCATGAATTATTAATGAGTTCGAGATGTATGTATTCCTCTGGCAAATAGGCACCGTCATCCCTATTCAAAGCATGATTACTCATATTTATATGCCACACTTCTAGGCAAAGTCTTTGACCATAGCGATTGTTTGTGGTAATTACTTTGAGTTTTCCCACGCAATCCCGTGTTTGGTGTAACACACATGTTCTGATAAAGCTGATTTTTCCTTGTCTAAAGTTGAAACAGCCTTTTGATGTTCTTTTAGCTCGGTACCAAAGCTTCGCAAAGCCAAAAGATCCTGTTAAAACAAATCAGAAAACTCATGCTGTATATTCAATACCATGGCGTGACTGCGAGAAAAAGTATTTGGGTAAGTCTAAATGCCAGTTTTGTACACGGCTAAAAGAACATCAAAAGGCTGTTTCAACTTTAGACAAGGGAAAATCAGCTTTAGCAGAACATGTGTGTTACACCTAACACGAAATTGCGTGGGAAAACTCTAAAATAATTACCACAAACAATCGCTATGGTCAAAGACATTGCCTAGAAGCGTGGCATATAAATATGAGTATAATCATGCTTTGAATAGGGATGACGGCCAGTGCCTATTTATCCTGAGGAAGATATGCATCTGATTGACGTCATTCCTACGGTATTTAAGAAGCCACAATTGTAACTTTAGATCACCCTTGATGAAGACACTAGACTGGAGTGTCGAAACGTTGGGCCTTGATATTTTTGGTCGATGTTAATATCTTAATTATCAGTTCCATATTAGTTTTTAATAATTAAGAACACTATAACGCCTGGGAATACCCATTTGACGATTAAAAATGAAAATGGGTAAGGGAGGTCCCAGAAATTTATTCTAATGTGCAGGGGGGTCACCATTAAATTTCTGCTCTTTTAAGGAGGTGGCTTTCAATTTTAAAAATTTGGGAAAGAAAAAATTTCCCCCCCTTCCATAAAAAATGACCGGTCCCTAAAAGTTTGTGAGTTTACAGCATATGGGTATATTAGTCATATTTTTGCTTGCTACTCTGGTTTTTCATAAATGAATGGAAAGCCCAGTCGAATTTCATTCACGTTTTGACACTCCAGTCTATTGTCTTCATCATGGGAGATCTGAAGTCGCAATGTAGCTTTTTATATACCCTTGGAATGACGTCATCTGCCAGCAAGATAGAAGAAAAATAGATTTTCTAGGCCTGGCCATGCATGTAATTTAAATTATGTTTACAAACGCATTTTGCAAGTCGAGATTGTCCTTTCATAATTTTTAGATCTTCTATGACATATATGAAAATATTAAGAGGTTACCCCCCCCCCCGCCCCATGTTCTTCTCACTTTTGAAAGAATTACAAAATTGGTGGGGAGGAGTCAAGAAACGTGGGGAGGAGTCGACACCCCCTCCCCCTTGGCTATATGCCAGAGATCTGTGCCATAGCGTATAAATGTATAAACCGTATAGATCTAGATCGCTTTAGTGGTGCCTTCTTTGGCATCAACCTGGTTCTGACAGTAGTGTTAGTATGACTGACATTTTGTACAGTGTGGAAAGCTACCCTATATATTAAATGTTCCTAATATAGACACAAAAACTGATTACACCCAGTCATAAACCTAGCTCAAAATAAATGGCATGCAACTATTTCGAGCGCCAAGGGCGTGAGCCATCTATGGAGGTCCGGGGGATTGCTCCCGCTGGAAAAAAATATATGCACTGCACGCAAAAAGTGAGTAGTATGATTTTCGTAGCCGATTTTGAGATTTTAACGCTCAAATATGAAGAAAATGCGCATATTTATGTCAGTAGCTACTATTCTGCCAACTTCGAAATTCCTTAACTCGAAACCGCAGAATAGGAAAATAACAGAAGAGCAACTCAGCCATGCAACGTGTCCCCCTATAATTTTATGCGGTTTACTGGCCAGCATAATGGCAGACCAGCCAGTTCAGTGTGTTTATTGGCCAGAAGATCAATTAACATGCAGTTTACTAGTGGCCAGAGTAATGCTGGATAACATGCGTAATGCGATATGCGTGATGACTAAATTTCAAAGGTCCATACGCGAGTTGCCCTTCTATTAATTTCCTATTCAATCCTCAAAACCTGCTTGAAAATTTTGCATTCTTGGTCCAACATAATAATTTACTGGGCAATCAAGCTATTGAAGGCTATCAAGCCAAAATCACAAGTGCCAACATATATAGTCTTGTTCACCAATGTCTAGGCTATACGAATATGTCAGTTGGCAGCTTGTAACAAAAAATGCCACCAGAGTGTGACTTTCAGAGAGTTGGCAGGTCGTTTAATATACATCCAGATGAAAAACAAAGAAAACCGACTCAACTATGAAATAATTTCTTTTGTAATCTCGTATATAATTATAACTATGTGAAAAAATTCAATTTATTTAATTTTCTAGTATTAATACAAAGCATCTGTTGAAAGACCAGGATAAAACCACTGGGAAAAATATAACTGATTTGCACTGTCTGAAATAAGTGGGCCCTTAATAATGTTGAAAATAAAGTGTTGAATGAGATAACTTCCTGAAAATGCAAATACGATTCCTAAGAAGTTTATTATTAAGGCTACGTTTACAATTTGTTGCACCAATTTACTCAATTTCAGGTTCATTTCAATGTTAGTGGACAGACTTTAGAAAAGACGACGGACGCGTTCTCAATTTCAGCTCCGAAGATTGAGAGCTAAGGAACTTGATTACTGGAATCAATTGAAGCTTTTTAAAATAACCTTATAAACAGCTGGAAGTTCGGCGGAAATGATCCCCGGTGTCTGCTGTATGATGATTATAAAAGGTAAACTATCTTTATTCTAGCTACTATTTCATGATATGATAGTCTATTTACAAAAGCTCTATTTATACTAATAATTATAATCATCCTAGGCTTACTCATGCATATATAATTAATCATGACATCTACTACGAGACTGATTTTATGTAACTCCTCCAATGTCTCAACAAGCATTCACGTTGCTCCAATGACGTGAAAATCTTAGGGGCTGTTTATATATATGGTCCCGCTTACCCGGGATTCAATGAAGTGTGACGTATTTTGAGCAATTGAAATACGTTTTACTTTATGTCAACTATGATCTAACAAAATTGCTTTTTACAAATTGTATGAGTTTCTATGTTTTAGACAAATAACAAATGTTGTTGAATGTTACTAATCGTCTTCTTCCACTACATAACTTCTAGCGCATTCCTATTTTCGTTTAAACAATATTTAAAGTTATCTAACTTTTTTTAGAGCTGAAGCACGTATTTCAAATGCTCAAAATACGTCACAGTTCATCGAATCCCGTGTAAGCCGGACCATATAAAAAGCCCCTTAGTTTAACGTTGCATTCAGAATGACAACTTTAAGGTACCACAAATTATTCAAACTTTTTGTTTTGCATGAAAAGTTTCTTTATTTCGTTTTTCAGTTCGCGTAATGTTTTCTAAATCAGTCTGGTATACGTCATATAACAACAACAACAACTGCAAGCAATATTTGTCATTTTTAAACAACGTTGAATCTAAAATGCAAATACATCCAAAAGAATATTTATAACAAGTTTCTTAAAGTAAGGATTGCATAATTGCATTAAGAAAAATTTCTTAAAGAATGTTTTCTTTTTCTCAAAATAAGAAAATGATTTGTCTTATTATACAAAAATTTCCTGATGAAAAATATTTTTATTCTCCCAGGAAATTTGGACTTATTTCGAGAAAAACTTCTTAAAATAATTTTTCTTTTTCTTAAAGTAAGAAAGGGAATTTTTGCTTTGTAGCTCGAGAGATGATTCGCAAACTTTCTTTAGACTTCATATAAATTCCAGTTGGTCATAATTGTTGCTTGTACCTTTGCTCTTCTGTCCAAAAAGATTTAACCTGATATCAAGTGCCTGTTGACATGACTCCAGAGCAGATTTTGTCTGATATCAAGTGCTTGCTCGAACGATTGCAGTGCTGACTTGTAATCTTTTTTCTCAAGTTGGGGTCTTCCAATCTGGTAATAGCTGTTGGCGGTATCTGCATGGTTCTGTCCAAAAAGTTTTAACCTGATATCAAGTGCTTGTTGACATGACTCCAGAGCAAAATCATAATCTTGCATTTCGCACTGACATTCTGCAATGCTGAAGTAGCTGTCAGCGGCGGATGGGTGTTCCTTTCCATAGAGCGCCACGCTAATATCCAGGGCTTGCTGGTGCCAATGCAGAGCTGAATCGTACTCTTTCAAGCGATACTTTGTCACTCCAATCTGATTACAAGCGAAGGAAACTTTTGGGTGGACTTTTCCATTAACATTTTGTCTGACATCAAGTGCTTGCTCGAACGATTGCAGTGCTGACTTGTAATTTTTTTTCTCAAGTTGGGTTTTTCCAATCTGGTAATAGCTGTTGGCGGTATCTGCGTGGTTGTGCCCATAAAGCTTTAGTCTGATATCGAGTGCCTGTTGATATGACTCCAAAGCAGAATCATACTCTTGCATTTCGTACTGATAATTTGCAATGCAGTAGTAGCTGTTAGCGGAGGATGCGTGTTCCTTTCCATAGAGCTCTACCCTAATATCCAGGGCTTGCTGCAGCCAATGCAGAGCTGAATTGTACTCTTTCAAGCGATACTTTGTCACTCCAATCTGATTACAAGCGGCGGAAACGTCTGGGTGGACTTTCCCATGAAGATTCTGTCTGATATCAAGTGCTTGTTCGAACGATTGCAGTGCTGACATGTAATCTTTTTTTTCTCAAGTTGGGCTCTTCCAATCTGTTAATAGCTGTTGGCGGTATCTGCATGGTTGTGCTCATAAAGCTTTACTCTGATATCAAGTGCCTGTTGATGTGATTCCAAAGCGGAATCATAATCTTGCATTTCGTACTGACAATTTGCAATCCAGGGGTAGCTGTTAGCGGAATGTGCGTGTTCCTTTCCATAGAGCGCCACGCTAATATCCAGGGCGTGCTGGTGCCAATGCGCAGCTGAATCGTACTCTTTCAAGTAATACTTTGTCCGTCCAATCTCATTACAAACGAAGAAAACGTCTGGGTGGATTTTCCCATGAAGACTTTGTCTGATATCAAGTGCTTGTTCGAACGATTGCAGTGCTGACTTGTAATCTTTTTTCTCAAGTTGAGTATTTCCAATCTGGTAATAGCTGTCGGCGGTATCTGCACGGTTGTGCCCATAAAGCCTTAGTTTGATATCAAGTGCTTCGTAATGATATGTCAAAGCGGCGTCACAATCGTCCTGACTTAGTAGAATTTTTCCATTGTTATAGTACCTTGCGGCTGTATCCGGGTTTAGCCGACCATATTCTTCTATAAAATTATCAAGAGCGAACTGCATCGCTGCTGGACTCTCTTGCTTTATTTTTAGATGTGCCAGGGTGCTTTCAACGACGAAGAGTAGTGGCAAGTATAGACGGTCGTTCTGTGCTTCTGCTTCGATTTCTTTCTGTAACTGGGAGATTGGCAAACCAAGTTTAAACATTACCTCCTTCATGTCATAGCATTTCACAATGTAGTTGAAGAGAACAGCAAGCGGCAAAATGAGTGGTTGACTTACAGCTTTTGGGTATTCATCCTCATTCTCGTCAGCGCAATCATCTTCTTGTATAGCTTTGAAGAAAGCATACAAGGATGGTCTGTTAGCGCATTCAGTTAAAACAATGTTCTTGTAGTAGGAAGACTTTTGTGCGTGAGGAGTAAGCAGAGCAATAATCTGAGAGCATAAAACCTTAAGTACAGTATTTTCAGAACTCAAAAGAGATATCCCTGTTTCAAGAATTTCGCCTCCATTCGCTTCCGCTTTACATATTAGCATGTGAATACCAAGGTAACAAATTCGTTTTCCCACGAAAACTTCTGAAATAAGAAGAGGATTTTGCTTCTCTATTTCTTCGGCCTCTTTCAGTAATGCCAATGTAGCTCCATTATACCAGGTTATCTCACCAACAGCTTTAGCAATTAGCAGTTGGTGTACAGCTTTAAATTTACGCTGCTCTTTTGCCTTGGCTATTGCTGAATCATAAATATTGTTAAACATCCAGCAACGTTCAAAGTAGAAAATGGTATCCAAAAACAAATCCGCATCGGAAAGAACATCGAAAAGTGGGTCAAGGAAAGCTTTGTTTTGAACACCTTCGGAGAGGCTATGTACCATATTTTCTTTGTTAAATTCGAAATCGTGGTATGCAAGGAGAGAATTTCCAGCAAGAAACTGGCTGTTTAAATCATCAAACAACTGGACGTAATATCTTAGCAATCGCCGTTCTGCTTCGCAAGCAATTTCTGTCATGCCAGCTGCTCGTTCGGAACTAAATGACTTGATCAGAGGGTGAAAAGAAAACAGTACCGGTTCGGAGGAATTTCCTTCAACCAAATATTTTCTCTTGAGCCTCAACAAAGTTTTCTTTGCTGTGTCTTCGTCTCCTCCAATGACGTTTACTGCAGCTTGCTCGTCGAACACTTCATTGACAAAAACTGAAAGACAAACAAATGCTTCTTGCTCTTCTCGAGATAGTCTTTTGAAATAAGACTCGAACAAGACATTCAAACGTTGATCATTAGGCGCATCTGGATCGTCTAACAACTTTACTACCGATTTTGATGAACGGCTAAAGTGGTCAAGGAATTGAGATATACTCTTCTTCTCGTCAACGATTTGACCGCACAAAAGCTTGATGGCCAGTGGAACGTCTCCACAAACCTCAGCCACTCTGCAGCATTCACTTTCATCAGCAGCGGAGAAAAGTTTTTGAACAAGCATTTGTGCCGATTTCCTGTCTAGCGATGCAACACCGAGGGACACGTGAGCGCCAAATTTTCTTCCCAGCACCGACTGAAGACTCGTTCTTGTGGACAATAGAAAGGACACATTCTTGCAATGAGAAAAGATCTTTTCGAGCAGGTCTAAAACATCTTGGCTCGTTTCACCACTACTCGCAAAAAGGTCATCGGCGTTATCGAGGATGATACAAATGTTGGAAGGAATTGCACTGAGGAGTCCGCACAGTTTTGAACGCCCTTGCCCCGTTACATCAGACGACGTATGTGCAAAGGTGTTTAACAGGTCAGAGATCAGCTCTTCCATTGTCTTGACGCTTCTCAAGGAAAGGAAATAAACTGGTAGTCCGAGCTGTCTAAGTTGGTGTCCTACTGCAATAGCCAACGAGGTTTTGCCAAAACCAGGGGGGCCAGATACAGAGACTAGCCGAGCAGATGTGGACGTCAACGAACGCGAGATTTCTTCACATTCTTGTTGTCGGCCAATGAAATAAGGCACCATGGGAGGAAGACAGGACTTGGGCACGGACGTGTCAAACACTGTGGTGAAATATAAAATATATGGTTAAACTGCAGGCGTTATCTGCTAGTAGACTTAGGGCAAAACAGCTTAAAGCAACGAAGCACCTGAATGCTTTTGGAAGTTACAAAAAGTGTCGTTTTATCCATTACGGGGTGGACAAACAGTACTGCTCAGAAATAACCTAACACTGCGTTCGCGTTCCGAACACGTTCCAAACGCGTTCCGAACGCGGTTGGAACGCGTTCCAGAGGAAACTTGGAAACGCGTTCCCCACTTTGGCTAAAAACCGCGTTCTCACATCTGAAAATCCCGACACCGAATGAAATATGAGCTACTGTAGGTTTTGACAGTTGACAACTATGCACAATTAATATCAAGATTCATCCCGGGCTGAAATAACAGCTCGGTTTGACCCAGACTGAAACTCGACGCAGTCCGCGCAGCATGTAATCACAAATAATTTTAAAAAATCGTCTTAATGGCTTTTTTTGGCGTGTTTGTTTCAACTGTATATGTAACCATAAACACACAAATATAATAGCCGAAAATGGTTCAAATCGCGATTGTGTCTTTCGACCCGAGCTAGAAAGGTCTGTGTTGTGCACAGGGTACATTTCAGCAATTTAACAACATGGGATGAAAATAGTTCCGACTAAAACTCAGCCGGCTCAAACTGCTCACGGGCAATCAAATAGATCGCTATCAAACGTGCTGAAGCAAGTGTATCATGTAGCATACTTGCTACAGTTTATTTTAAATTGTCGCCGCTTGTGTAATTTTTTTACGCATAACTAAGTCATTACACATGATTATAAGGTATAAACATTTACAATTAGTCAAAATACTAGTGACTGTGACATTTTTGACTGCCCAACATCTCGGGTCGATTGTATAATAAGTGCACGCTTGCAATGTACATTTACTAACAATCGTACCAACTTATGATGATATTCCCTTACTGTGGCACGCGAATACAAGCGTATCAGCAATAAACATCGCGGGGGGTACATCACCCACTATACTGTATACATCCAAGTTCTTGTGGTTAGAGCTCGACAACTGAACTCTGCAACTCAGTTGGTTAGAGCGCTGTACCGGAATCGCAAGGCCGCAGGTTCAAGTCTAGCATGCGATGCTTTCGCTTCTAATAATTTTTTGCATATAGCGTTCGCTCTCAAACGCTTGCTTTTCATTGGCCATTGCTCTAATGACACGTCAATCAACAGTAATATCAATAGTAAAAACGGTCAGCAAGTACAGGAATTGTAACAACATCCTATACGCGAGTGTACATATTCTAGGATTTCTGCACCGAATAAGTGTTGATGTTGCGAAAGTAATATAGCTTCCAAGTTGCAAGCGCTCCTCAATAAAGTGTTGAGTATTGGGCAATAAACCTTAATCTCCCTATATACAATGGTGTTTGAGAATACAGGGAATTGATCAGGTTTGATGGATTTGAAACAACTGTCCGACTTGCAGAAGGCTTTGCATTCCCGGTTAATTTTTCGCTCAAAGCATATTGATTAGTTCCCTCGAGAAAAACTCAGGGCGAAAAAATGCGTTTTTCTCTAACTATAAAATTGCATTTAACAACAACTCTGATGTTTGCCATCCCTGTATTAATTTATTGAAGTCGACATATATCGCAAGACACGTGCGTGATTGACATTTCGCAGGAGGAAAACAACAAAATTCTGCTCTGATATGATTTGTCAATCTACAAAGCGAATTTGAATTTATTGTAAGGGCGGCAAGAAAATTTATTAGAAGCAACTGCAGGCTCTTCGTTCCCCTAACCAGAGCCTGCCTCGCAGGCTAGTTCAATTCCTGGTTGTATTTTTCGCAGCTGTTCCTGGTTAAATATAAAATTAATCATAGATTTTGGTAAAAAATTAGAACGTCATGTGGCACACCGTGCTGTTTTTTGATTGGACAATTTAAAGTTGAGGTATAATATATTACATGTATATATATAATTTTTTTTTTATTAATTTTCCGTCCATAATGAAAGTAGTAATCTCAGTTGTGCGATTACTTATGACAGTTGCACATGTGATGATTATCGCTGAATCAGTTGCACATGTGAGGATTATCGCTGAATCAGTGGCACATGTGATGATTATCGCTGAATCAGTGGCACATGTGATGATTATCGCTGAATCAGTTGCACATGTGATGATTATCGCTGAATCAGTGGCACATGTGGTGATTATCGCTGAATCAGTTGCACATGCATGTGATGATTATTGCCGAGCCACACCAGACACGATGCCAGAACGCGGCGCGATTTTTCAGTTTTTGAAAGTTGTTTTGAAAGGAATTTTAAAACATATGTGTACCAAATCATTCAAAATATTATATTCCTAGTTAATAATCCACCTCACATGATCTCGATAGTTTAACCATATAGCCTGGCTAAATGAACCAGGGATCCTGTTTAGATTAACCACAATAGTGATCAAACAGCCAGTACTGTAGTTAAATTAACTAGGAAATTTATCAAGGAACATTAAGTTACTCTAAACACCATTAATTTTAGACTAACAAGAAAAATTTTAGTCCAGGTGTTTTTGCGCGTATTATTCTCCATATATTTGGTAACCGTGTACATACCTTGAACTTCGTGTGGAATATAAAATCTCTTCAGCACATGTTGAACGTAAGAAGCTGAAACTGCTGCACCAAATTGACACCAAGTCGAGTTTTTACATTCATCATTTTCCCACTTTGCGATAGATTTACAGGATATCCACGGCACTCGAGAGTTCTGACATGTTGCATATACCCCTAAAAACGATAAAACTGAGGTTATCTTTGATATTTGAGGGAAACATTGGAACTCAAAGACATTCATGTCTTACACACGAGAGCGTTACCCGAAGGTGACATGTTTCTGTTAACTTTCTGACGAGCTTTAACTCCCATCTAGCCTCTGTTCATAGGGCGTCTAATTGTCATTAGAAACTTACAGATTCGATCCCTGTATAGGCACTGGCATTTCAAGCTCACAGGTTGATGGAATGGCAGCCATCTTGAATATTTGAATATATAATGCGCTTTTGAATACTGTAAATAACGCGTGTGTGGCGAAATATTTATAAAACTGCGAGTGCGTAGCACAAGACTAATTTCTAACATTAATTTTCGATTCAAACCTATAAAAATAGGTACGCAGTGCGTACACGTTGCATGCCCTCGCTCCTCCGCAGAGGACAGGGGCTTTAGTTGCCTTTCATTTCCTTCACCCTTTTCCGCCCGCGCTCCTTTGCCCAGTGGCCCCGCCTGTGTTCCGAGATCCGCCATGTAAAGTGTAGTGAAATGTATCTCATCGTGATAAATCATAAGACAACTAAAGCACAGAATAGAGAATAGACCAGAAGTGTCACTCCACGAGTGCTGATGTGAAAATACGCCATCATATGACGCCATCCTGGAGTGCACCAGGGGTTTCAGAATTATTTGAAGTAGGCGGCTGCACCAAAAAAGTAGCCGGCTGTGATTGATAGTTAAAAAATCGCGCCGGGAAGTGGGCGTGCCTTCGCATGGAAATTTAAAAAATTTTCGCTTCAAATTAACAATCAAACAATATAGAATTAATAAAAAAGACAAAGTACAACTGTTAACTTGTTAGATTTAGATGACATTTGCATTTATACTTGTAATAAGTAACGATGTACTTTAATGTTCTACAAGTAGTTTAATTTTTACAGCTGCATGAACAGAATGACAATGTACGCTATTAGTATTAATTTATGAGCATCACTTTATCATAATTAATTCACTGTAAAAGAATTAGTCACTTGAAAAACATTTACCAAAGTAGCTCTGAATCTGACTCGTTCTCTGGCTCACTGTCAAATTCGGATTCCCTAATGCTTAAGTCACTGTCAGAGTCAATCAGAATCATCTTCCTATTCAAGAAGATCCAGAGCCGCTGACCATTTGCTACGAAATTCAAGATGGCGACGAGAAAACAAAGAATGTTTATATTATCGTTTTTTCGACAGCAACTTAAGAAAGCAAGCTATGTTTGGTACTATGTATTATTGATCTTATTGATCTTCCAAAATAAGTGATGTTTTGTTTGAATTCCAATTGGAACATAACAAACATCGTGTTGGTTCGCTTGTACCTTTGTATATAAAATTTTTCCTGCCGGACCAGGCGAAAGCCGCGAAAAGTAGCCGTCGGTAAAAGTTCAAGTAGCCGGCGGAACTCCGGCGGCCGCCGGCTTATTCTGAAACCCCTGGTGCACACAGAAGTTTTTCATGGTTACAAACATAGGTACAAAGTGCCGTGTGCACTCCAGGATGGCGTCATAGCTCGTAAACAAATTCGGACGTTTTTCCCAAGCCAAAACACATAGGAGTGTCCCTTCTGGTCTAGTATCTATTCTGTGACTAAAGCCTTCAGGCCGATTTCCATTCAGTGCAAAATAACGCAAGATCAACTTTTTGCAATCAGTTTCTTTTGAAACGCGTTCAGTCAACCTGACCGTTGCGTTTGATTGCTTGAATTAGAATATTTCAGAAGAAAGTGATATCGCAAAATGTCGATCGCGCGACATGTTGCACTGAGTGGAAATCCGCCTTTATGGTCCGCAAGCGCCGGTACAACTGGCCTGAAACTTAACATATGGATTCAATAAGTTTAATATCAATATATTTATTGAAAAATAACTATTATGTCAAAATAACAAAACTTTTTCAAACTTTTCGCGATTGTTCATCTGTAGTTGCAAGGGACGGTAATATCAAGGTCAACAGGTCAAGGTTTTATCCTGTGGGTTTTATCGCTGATTGACTATTAACCGTGACTATTCGAAGTAAACAATGTTTATATTTTCCTACAAATTTAACTTTATTGTGGAAACCGTGAATTACTATAATGATTGAAAATAATTATTAAAGTATGATCTCGACTATGAGTGAAATTATCGAAGTAGAATGCTATTTCGACATTTCGTTGTATTATTAAATTTCAGCAGACAATAGTTCATGTTATTTACAGAATGTGATGTAGTTTTGAAATTTGAAGTTTTTACACACAATATAATCAGTGCTAGCACAATGGCTTCGTTTGAATTTGGGCTAATAAAAAATTAAAATTTTGATAGCGTGGCCTTTCACAAACATAAACGCCTGATAATTAATAAATAAATAAATATCAGTGCGAGAACAACGGCACCAAAATAATAATAAATAACAGAATATAAGCTAAATTAAAAACAGCAAAGCTTTACCTACCTCGATCTATTTTTCTAAGCCGCTAAATTACGTAAATGTTCGACGAAAACTCAATATTTTCTTTGCGTTTCCTCGACGAAAGCCGCGAACAAAAGCGTGCATATTAAAATTTCAACTTTCACATCACATGAAAATGCTCGTCGGACTGACTCGGTATTTGTCGTAATTTACGAATCTGTCACGTGATTTACCACCGCCCGTCGGTACACCGCGACACGAAATTTAGAGCTATATGAAAGTTGCATGCCCATATATGGGCATGCAACAAAAACTGTAAATAATCTTTATTTCTTCTTTATCTAATTCTGTATTTGAGCGTAAATAAAAGCTCAGACAATAATATAAATTTTGAAGTTGTTTATTTAGATTTTGTGTTTAAAATTTCTGCACTCACGTGACCGTGCGGAATGGACGCGTGCTCGTTTACGTCCCCATAAATCTTTAATCGCGGTATAGTTTTTAACCAATAGAAACGAGTAAATTGACTAAAATGATATTAGTTATGAAATTGGTTGCGTGAAATCATTAGAAATATAGCTTGAAAGATTTAGAACATTCACTCGGGACAACGTTCCTATAAACTGACAAGATTAAATTCAGCAAACAGTTTTTGTTTATTTTTCCTGTTTTACGAGGAAATTATTCCGATAGCTCACATTAGTATACCTACTTTTTGACGCCGTGTCTATTCCAATGGTTCCTGCTTTGTGCCAATCCTTCTTTTTGTCGTCACCATCTTGTAAACTTGTCGTAAACTGACCAACATGGACTTTTGGAACTACCACATTTTCACGAGGACCATCCCACGCAACTTTTCCACGGTCGAACAAACGCACCAGTCCCAAATCGCAGTCATACGCTGTACGATCAAAATTCGGAAAACCGTCATTCTGTTGCTCAACAAAGTAAACTTGTGATGACACTACGACATCACCAAGGAAGTGTGCTTCCTTCCTTGCACCATCGCAAACTCCCAGACTAACAATAGCTTTTGGTTTAAGTTCTTGAATTGTTTCATAAACCACAACGTCATGACCTGACGAAGCGCCGGTCTTGCCTAAGCATGGAACTTTCAAGAGCGTCACTTTATTTTTACCGATTTCTCCCAAACAACAGTTTTTGTCTCTTTCGTCTTTCTTGCTGGGTATTTCGACATTCTCCAATATTTTTTGCGCTTCATTAAACTCTGTGTCGTCCACTGTCAGCAAAAGAACATCGTTAAAATCTTTGAATTCGGAGTCCGACGTCGTGGTACATTGATCTAAACAAAGAAATATGCGGGCAAATAACGAAAATAATATTGAAAAACAAGATAGGCAAAAAAACGGGCCGAGTGACGAATGGAAGATAGATTTCTTTTTTATTTGCGGAGACGTCTAAAGGATCTGCTAATCTTTCTAGTCTCCCCAAAGCCCTATTTGATGATGCTCAGCCTACCGCTAGAGACGGTTTGTAGATCAAAGGCATCTGTATATCAATGATATTAAGTGCTACTCCAAGTGACAATCAATATCGGAGATTGAGACAAAACCTTTACTTGCCTAGGTGCGGCATGGAATCGATCCCACGATCGTCCGTTTTCTAGACGGATATACTTTGCGGTAAACTTATAATCGCAGGTCTAGAATGCGCCACCGTCGTTTTTTGGAAGTTGGGGGACAGGCTGTGGGAGTCAAAGAAATGGGGTTACATGTCGTGTGCCGGAAAGATTGGGGAACGGGCATCGGGACAAATGGGACTGTGAACATTATTATTTGTAACTGCGTACACATCACTTTGGAAAATCACTTTTTAAGGTAATGTATTACATAAACAACATACCTGTGGTTTCTTTCGTCTGTGTTAATTTTTTATTAATGCTATTCAGCTCATGTTCCACTCCAATTATTTTACGTTTGATTCCACGCATTTCTTCTGTAACGTCACTTTGAAGAAACAGACAGAATTCACTTCTCAGATTATTGATTTTTTTATTTAGTTTTTCAACTTCCTTCGTAGGAAAATCCGATTCTTTCATGTTGCCAATCCTCTCCAGAGATGCCGTGCTAAAATTCAAAGCAGTGAACGCGTCTTTGACGTGCCTGACATAGTCATCGAACTTGACTTTATTAATTTGAGGGCGGGATGAATGACAAAGAGTGTTTCGTAAAAGACGAAGCTGGTCAATGGCAAGTGCAATCGTCTCATTTGCATCTCCACTAGAGCTTCTCACGGCAGAGTGGAATGAAGCAGGGCCTGGCTTTCGTCCTTTCAAATATATTTCACCAAGCGTCTTTTTCTTTCCTGTGCTGTCTGGTAGCGCAAATGTTATTGCATACAGAGTGGCTTGAAATAGTGCAGTGCAGTCCCACTCTTTAAATGAGTTGTTTGTGGGGATTTTGGTGCTTGGAGCCTCATTGTTGTGGAGTATATTGCGTACAAGAGGCGAGTCATCCCAAACTGTGGAACTTGGTGCAACTCTGGTGTCCCACATGTCTACAAAGATGCTACGCAAAGCATTTGGGAATTCTTTTAGGACGAACGACGCAAACTTGAAGTAGTTCAGCTCTTCATCAGAATACGGCTGTATAGACATGTTGGCTGAGTTTCTGAGCAAAAATGACACAGAAAAAACTGATACATGGAAAAACATCGATAAGGCACATGTTCAAAGCAAACCGGTCTGACAAGTAAATTTAATGAACGTAACTTAAAAAGGTTACAGTTTACGACGCAATGTTTCGAAACTGTGGTTGGGTTAGCCGATATTTAGTAAATCATATCATGATCATCGTCTGGGAAATTATCATGATAGTCGATAATATGGCGATAAATGCATTAAAAACAATGGCCGTAGTTTCAATCTTAGATGATATACAGTAATACATATTAATAGCATAAGAATTAAGCTATATTAGCAACTAATAAGATATGTCAGTTTATACCTTATTGCAAAGTACAAATTGAAGTAAATATCCCACTAAAACAAATAAAAACCTTCTTTTATTTCAGCGGTTATATATATCTTAGCTGTCCACTGCAATGGAGGCAAAGCTGCAAATGTATATCCTCGAGGAATTAAAAGAACTGTTTTCGGATTTTGAGAAAACTATTTACACATGCCAAACAATATCACGATATAGTCATTGACCATAACGATTATTACTCGACATATCCTCGCTCGTGTTTCTGTCTTCGATACGATAATCAGGAGTGAAACAATCGCGATGATATCGGTAATATCACCTGCACTCCGGTCTAGTCACTCGAATACACTATAGACTTTCCAAAGTGTCGAAACGGTGGGTTGCAAACTGTAACCTCTTTAAATCACGTTCAGTATATGTATAAGCCATGCAGAATGGGATTGCAATATTTAGGGGGGGGGGGGGTGTTAACAAGGTTGCATGGCCCACTTGGGACTACATTGACTGTGCTGAATCAACCGTGACAACCAATAAACTTTACACAATTATATTTCAAATACATATTGCGACGATAACAAGAACGACTATGGATTATATCCGGCAACTACACTTAACTACTATTAAATTCTAAACACATGGTTATATTTAAAATACATTCTAAAGGATGAAAATAGAAAACAGAAAACGAGTCGCGTGCGTTTATTTATGGTGTTATGGCACGAGGGGAATGTTGAATGTCTCATACGAGAGAAGCATTTACCGAGTGCATTATCGCACTACATAAACGCACGAGACGAATATATATATTTTTTTATAATATATATACGTAGAAGATATTGCATAGTGACAATTTTACTCAAAATATTGACTTTGAAATTCCTCTATAACATGTACTCCGTGACGTCACGGGCATGCTTTTACCGGCGCTTTGAAATTTTAGGCGCCCGAAAGAGCAACCGGTCAGCACTTTTCCATCTACCAAACAGACGTGACGTCATTTTTGGAAGATGGAAGTGTTAAATGGCTATGTAACTAACCCAAATCCTGCCCCTACTCTATGTCTCTAACCTCTAACTTTGACATTAACCCCAACCCCAACCCTAACCCTAACCCTAACCCTAACCCTAACCAATATAACGAAATAAATCCAAAAATAATCGATTTTTGAAATTGATCGAATGACGTAACGCCAGTTTGACGGTTGGAAACGAGTGAAAACCGGAGCAAGAACAACGCAAAATTTTGATGCTAAAGTTGCGGGAAAAGTGTTTAAAATGCTGGCATGGAAAAATGAAAACCCAGCGATACACAAACTAATTTGATGTTTTTTAGCGCGTCTGGGCTGTTAGAATTGCCATAAAATACGTTAATTTAAATCATAGGTTTTCGTGGTGTTGCTCGATCAGTTCTAATTTTTGAAATCATTCAGTATTCCTTGTCTTTTGCCGAATTAGTATGTATCTCGCAGTTTTATTCAGAAGCTTGAAGGTGCTTTCCAAATAACATATGTCCAGTTTTTTTTCTTCCTTTTTCTATGTTTGTGGTATTCCTGTATCTTTTTTCGAGTTTTTTCTCGAATTATAGATAAAATTGCTTTGTCCCTTCGGTCTATTCCTTCTTGTTTTCTGCTCAAAGAAAATAGAAATGAAGCGGGGAAACACAAAAAGAGCAAGGCAGTGCCACATACCACAGTGTATGAATGGGTTATAACACACGCGGATTAGCCAATCAGACATATAATAAAGGAAGATCATATAGTCCGTGTGTTGTGACCCGATATCGTTCACTTTCATTAAGCATGTCTTAGAACTGAAATATTTTTACGGGAACTAACACTTTCGAACACGCTGAGTTGAAATCCGAAAAGTTCCCACTCCGTAGACCCGCAGTTTTTTCACAAAATGCTATTTTATCTTCACTAATTTCACAGCAAATTTTTTCATTGTTCAACGATACGGATCGATGATGATACAAGATTATGTCACTCAAAAGGACCAATT